TAAAATGAAGTCGGAGGTGTATGTACGACAGCTTTTCCTCAGTCCCTTTGAGAATACCCCCTTTTGTTTATTTAGAATAGTTAATTATATACATTTTTTCAGGCCCTCATTGTGCAGGAACACTTCCGCATACAGTAACTTTTACATATCATCTACTAAAATCACATACGACCCTGCTGTACACAGCCAATACAGAGTGATACAGAAGACATATCCCTAGGAATAGCTTTGCTCTCCCTATTCATCACTCTATTTTCGGTCGTGAATGTAGTTTCGGATCTCGAAAACGGCGCTGTCACCCGGCAGCAGCAACGTCACGCGACTAGGATCTCACTTTCCCCGTGAGTTATAGAACACAAACAGCCATGTAATCAGTTGATCACCGCAGTAATTATTAAAAAAAACATCCATCTCGCCATTTCTAGAAAACTCTCATCCGAGTAAACACGGTAACAATCTCAAAAAGCCAGAAACAATAGCAAGATAAAGCACAGCAGCAAGCCTAACGTTTCTTAGGATAACTCAACTCAAGAAGACATGAATTCTGACATATTTCAAAACAGCATGCCTAAGACTAAGCTACCCTTGCGAAAGATACTCCCAATGCCGAAAAGACGGATAAGATGTGGAAACGGAGAACGATTTAGAAGATTGAATCCAGGAAGGGTAAAGAGGAATGCTTCAACAACAACACCAAAATTGACATCTCGCTCTTGCCTCAGCGTAGAGGAGATGAACCGCGCCCTGGCCCTAGCAAATATCACCACCAACTATCAGCGGCCAGATAAAGACTTGATAGCAGCCATGAAAAAGAAACAACGAGGCAGAACCGCTGGCCCCACCAACAGTACTCTGGACCCAAACACTACGCAGTCACTTACGCCGGCTGAAGAAACCATCTCACTGTCTAGTGATTCTTCCACACTCACACCTCTCACGGCATGTGACACCGCTACCCCTTCCAAACAGCCAAGGAAATCATCAGATTGGGAGACGCAAGCCAAAAAGATAATTGAGCGGGAAAGTCACAGCCTAGACAGAGATTGGTCACGCTTCAGCTGGAAGCAAAAAGCCAGCAACATTGTGCGGCTCAAGCTGCTGAAAGATGATGGCTACGACATCACTCAACTGCTGAAAAAAGGTGTCACCGCGGATGAAATCATCGATGCAATACTCGCACATATCCGGGCCAGAAAGGGGGGACAGTCAGGTACTTACGTGTCTACCTGTCTCGATACAGTCACGCAGCCAGAAACAAACTATGATGCAGAGATAAACGAAAGAAGCGCATGCCAACCAGACAAAGATGATCCTCTCCCTTACATCTCAGACACCATATATCGCCCAAGCAACACCTCACCTCCCCATATCCCCCAGCAAACCCACCCAAACACCCCCGCCACCCTCCTACCTCAAAAGCGAAAGCACACACAAGACCCTAGTGACTTCTCCTCACCACCTTTTAAAAAACGCCGCATCCACTCCTCCAACCACACCACCAGCACAACCCACACCTCCGCTCTCCAAACCCTCAAACGCCATCTCCGCCGCTCCCTCTTCGCTTCCACCCGCACGTCCCATTCGCGCGCTTACTCCCACCTTACAACCTCGCAGGGCACACGATCGCAAGTCCCGATTCTCATCTCAACACCGCTGCCTGCGGCCCCGACATCGCGTATCGTCTTTACGCTGCAGGAACCAGGGAGACGGCCGAGCGGGGCGGATACGTATGTCACGTCTGCGGCGTTTGAGCTGTTGGGGAGAGAGGTGCAGTGGTTGGCGGGGGGTGCGGGGGTTTGGGATTGCGATTGTGAACTAGAAGATGAGGATAGGGTTGGATGCGGTGTTAAGTTACGAGTCAAGAGTGGGGAAGGCGATGCGGTGCTTGAGGGGGAGTCACGGGCGCTTGCTTCTTTGCTGAGGCATCTGCGGGATGCCGAGTTGATGCATTTGGGAAGGTGGAGGGTTGGTGATGTGGGTGTGGATGCGGAGGGGGTGCGGGATGTGGAGATGAAGGTTGTGAGGAATGAGTGGTTTCCTTTTCATCTTAGTCCTGCGGCGAGTGCGGTGTTGGGGGGGATTGCGGAGATGCTGGAGAATGGGCGGGATGAGGTGCGTGTTGGGGTTGTACGGCAGAGGGCGAGGTTTAGTGTCAGTGAGAGGTGAGAGGTGAGAGAGGGGAGATGTAAAGGGTATGGATGAGTGTGGGTCGGGATGGAGGGGTTGTACTAATGGTACGCAAGTTCAAGTTTTTAAGTGGGATGGCAACGCAAGGCTTTTACGATATGCGAGGCTGGTGATCGTACCACTAGACGATATGTAAGTATCTTGGATTACTATCAGCTTATATCGTCCCAACCTTCCTTTTCATCTGAGAATGGTAAGTTAGTAACCCGACTCTCATGTCAGCTAACTTAAAAAAAAATGAGCACTAATGTTGTTACCTGAACTTTGCGTTCAGTGATGAAGTTAAGAAGTCAGTATACGCGGTTCAATATGGTTCAAGAACTCGCGATTGAAAGCCAGACTACACTTTCTGTACTAAATCTAACCGTGTAGCTTACAACATGGAAGCATCAATCCCGGAACAAGTCATCCTTGTCTCCGCACTATCCATACCTCACCTCACCCGTACCCTCTCTGAACCAATCATCAATCGCCAGACCCTCTTCCGCCGTCGCGTAATTGATAATCGTGCTCTTAGAAGTAGTATACGCATTATACGCATCAACCCCATTCTCACTTCCCACACCGGAGCTCTTGATGCCGCCCCAGGGCGAACTAGGGTCATTACGATGATGCGTATTGACCCAACAGATGCCACTCTCGATGTTTTCCGAGACGCGGAAGGCCTGTGATAAGTCCTGTGTCCAGATGGCAGCTCCGAGCCCAAACTCGCTGTCGTTTGCGAGCTCGATGGCCTCGTCTTCGGTGTCGAAGCCGACGACTACGATCACGGGACCGAAAGCTTCTTCTTTCCATATACGCGTGTCGACGATTTTTGTGGATTGGCCATTGGTTAGGATGGTAGGGGGATAGAAGTAGCCGGTGGAGAAGTCAATGCCGTCGAGTGATGACTCGCCCTTCATGCGCTCTCCGCCAAATACGGCCGTAGCTCCGGCTTGCTTTGCGTCGTTGACGAGCGCCTCTACGTTAGCGAGCTGCTTCCTGGAGATGAGTGGGCCCATCATCGACTCGACGTTTTTCGGTGACCCCATTCTTTTCTCGATACTTTGAGCCTTGGTCTTGAGCTTGGCTACGACATCATCGAGAATGCTGTTTTGGACAATGATTCGGGTTGCTGCTACACATGTTTGGCCGCTGGCAATGAAGCTAGCAAACGCTACACCGTTGACTGCCAAATCTAAATGTGCCTTTTCAAAGATGATCAAAGGTGCTTTGCCGCCGAGTTCGGCAGTATAGTGTGCAAGGTTTCCTCCTGCGATGGCACCAATGGCACGTCCTGCGGGCGTGCCTCCTGTCACATCAACCTTCTTGATCAACGGGTGCTGGACTAGAGCTTTGCCTGTTGTGATGCCATCTCCAGGCAGCACGTTGAATACACCATCCGGCAAACCGGCCTCCTTCATAAGCTTTCCCAACTCAACGCTTGTGAGCGGAGTCAGCTCGCTTGGTTTCAAGACGATACAGTTCCCAGCCGCCAGGGCAGGCGCTATCTTTTTGACAGCAATCAGCATTGGATGGTTAAACGGCGTAATTTGCGCAACCACCCCGAGAGGCTTTCTGTCAATCCAATTGTGGAGTTTACCAACGGTGGGTAACACAGAGCGCTCCTCGGTCCGTATGAGGGCAGCATAGTATCTGAACCACTTGGTAAGGGTGGGAACTTGAGCGTTCATTTCGCGGATAGCGCGCCCGGTTTGCTGGACTTCTAGTTGAATCAATCGCGGGAGGTTCTCCGTCAGCAGTGTGGCGATGCGGTCTAGAATGTCTGCGCGGACATGACGCGGGGCTTTGGACCACACTCCAGATTTGAAGACTCGATGAGCAGTCTTGACAACATCGTCAACATTGGCTACAGACGCCGCATGGCAGTGTGCAAAGATCTCGCCAGTGGCTGGGTCTTCAATTGGCAGTCTGTGATGTAGTTAGCGATTATGATTAGTCTTCACTCTGTGCCTCGCTAACTGACTGCTCTGCTCCGCCTTCCACCTCTTTGCCCTCCACCCACATCATGTACGTATCTATTCCCTTGTCGGTCATATTCCTAAAAAGTCGAGCTGAGACTTGAAGAAAAAGCAATGAGTCTTCGCGACAAAATATCTGTCCAAATGATAACGGAGTTGCCCGATGGCAAGTGGAGCGTGATTAGTTAGTAGCGGGGTCAGCGATTAGCTCCTTCCCACCTTCAGTATCGTGAACGTTACTAATACCCACAGTATCATCCATGTGGGTTAAGTCCAAGGCGGATTTGTCAACGGTACTCCAAATGCAATATTTTTCCTCATGATTCATGATACGCCATCGAATTGTATCACTTTATCTGATTCAACTTCATACCAATGGCTGATTGCGCCCCGCATCCATCGCGCATACTTACGAGTAATGATGTGCCACTGCCAATTTACTACGTTTTTTCTTTTTTGTAGGACCCAGTGCGGAAACTACTCATAATCACTGAAATTTTTGTTTGAATTTCTATACAGTCTAGAAGAAAATAGGATTAAAAATCAGAGTACCAAGCCAATTCTATTGCCGCCAGCATTACCATAGCCGCTTCTAAAATACAGGCGTGGCTTGGTCCAGGTATCGCTCCTGAGTCCCGTAAATATGCCAACAGCGATAGTGCAATAAAGGGTATTGGGTATCTGTCCATGTTTGCCCCTCACTAGCCTAAAACCAATGTACAATAAAAAAATGCGAAGCCCATCCAAGTAAGATGCGGCTAGGACGCTATTTAGTTTGGGCGACACAGTCGCATGACGAACATTACACAAGAAAAATTATGTGAGACCCAATCATGGACCACCTGTTCAATGTCAAGTTAGTCCGAGGACGCTTTTCCCCTTTTCGTTACCCCTCCTGCATTCCATTACTCTCTTAACCTCTGCCTCACCCTCGGCTCCATGTGCAATGAGTAGCGCAATCAACACGCTTCGGTCTCGAGGTTCCAGCCCAGCTGATTTGAGAGCCACTTGTAGCGGCGTTTGTCCAGCTCTTGATTCCGAGTTGACATCCACACCGGCTTCTACCAAGTACTTTGCTATTGCCGACGCTCCAGGCGTCCGGAGGGCGAGGTGAAGGGGAGTTTCGCCGTGAAAGTCGGGCGTGTCGAGTGAATGGCCCTGAGAAGCGAGGTATCGTACTGTGTCGAGTTGACATCCTAATGTGGCGGCATGCACAGCGGTATAGTATGACGTTGGTGCGACATTTTTCCGAGTGATATCTGCTCCAAACTCCATTAGAAGAGGCAATATCTCCGTGGACATTTCGTACGCTGCTCTCATGAAGAAGAATCCAAATTCGGGATGCGGTGCCATTGGGGTCGCGCCTTCCCAAATGACTCTTTCTACTTCAGCAGCTGTTGCTTCTGCAGGTATGTTTGCCAGGATGCGGTCAACGGCCTCCCTCTGGCGGGGCTCTAGCTCTTTTCTTTTGCCTTTTGTAACGGCTATCCGGTCCGAGGTGATCTTCTTATGGATAATTGATACATCCGAGCCGGAAACAATAGACGCATATTTTGATGCATGTCTGGATGCATAGCTTGATGCGAGCTGCAACCGGGTGCTTGCCTTTCCTGATAGGTCGGTACACCAGCTGTACGATTTCTTCAGTCGAGATTCTGGTGCCACGAGGGTTTGGGCGGAGGAGGCGCAGTCTTCAGTGTAAAAAGTACCGCGTGATGGGGTAGTGGGCTCTTGAAAAGAGGGTACTACGAGACGCAACACTGACGATTGCTCAATGTTAGAATACGAGAGGGGTTGTGCATCTTCAAACGACGGGACATTAGCGAGCCATGTACCGATACCGCTGTCATTCATACTCGCATGAGACGAACTCTGGGCACTCGGACTCTTTCTACCGCTGGGACTCTTCCTTCCGCTTCGAGGCGTTTCGCCCAGAACGGGCTCTAGGGAATCTGGCCGCGGGATGACTGATCTCTTTGCTGGCTGCGTTGTTGTGGTTGGGGTGCTTTCTTTTGATACCGCTGTAATGCATGACCGGAGTAGGCGGACAGCCTGAAGTAGGGCTGATAGCGTTTCCCGGGCTGTTTGATTAACATGAATCTCATCTGTATCTGTTCGCTTCAAGAGATCATCGCTGTGCGTAATCAGATCGCTGACATAGCTCTGAAGCAGAGCGTCCAGGGTATCTTGCTGACCGAATCTGTGGGTCGTAAGCAACCTTGGCATTGGGAACTCGCACAGGGAATGGCAGCACTTACAGGGCGAGATAGTCCAGAGACAGCTCTAGGATGACTTTTGAGGCGTCTAGATCGTGACGAAGGTTAACCAAAGGCCCGTCTCGAAGGTCCCGCCAGTCATCCTTTGGGTTTGCACTGCAAGAGAGTTTGAGAAAGGCCTTTTGGAGGCGATCACTGGTGTCGTCGCAAGAATCAATGACGCGTGTTACAGCGTCAACAAGAGATTGGGGCAGGCCAGCGGCCTTTGTCGAAAAGTCATCCTGGGCAATGCCTAGGCCTGTTTTGATAATGATCAGATTGGTGTTGATGGCATTGAGGTCATGTCTAGCATCGCGGACTTTGCGCGCAAAACTGCTGATGTCCGGGATGATCTGGATCGGATATTAGCGCAAAGGGTGGGATGATGAACATGCGAAGCAGTTCTAACCTGGCCGATCGATGTCCCTAGCGCCGCGCATCGAGCGGCGACCGTACTCGGGCGCGCCATCAACTTGTGGTGCTGTGGCGAGGCTGCAAGTGCGGTAGACAGGGCACCGAGGGATTGCTGGTGCAGCCGGGGAGACTTTTTTTGGAAGAGTGGCAGCGGGCGCTGCTATGAGTTGGGAAGACTTGGTCGAGGCGGAGGGCTTGTCACATTGTGCAGCAACGGCGTACGGCACGGATCCCAGGCTTTTGCGTGCCCGCCGGATACTCGGTGGCCTAAGGTGGGCTTGGAGGGCGAGGGGAAAGGAGAGGGGAGAGAGGTGTTACGGCGAAGCGCCTCAGCCCAGTGTTTATCAAAGACGTTGCGGCGCTGGGCGGTCGGGGTGGGCGTCACACACAAGCTGGGGGGTGTTGCTTTTTTTCCTCGCAGCGTAAGTGTTACAGTGACAGTCACTAAGGCAACACGCAGGCATCGACGGCCGCATGTCGTGTGAGCCTTGGGCCGTCGCCAAACCACCAACGGCGGCGACTGTCGTGGGCTGCCCTGCCATGTCGGCGGACGAGAGAAAAGGGGATGTGACACCAGAAAAGGATTAGCGCGACGGGAAGCGCACAGGGCATCCCTGCAGGGGAAATGACGCCAAGGCCTCCCGACGGCCCCCGTGTATGCGATCTCGGTGCGATTGCGACCAAATTCATTAATCTGCCATTATCTATCCTGCTGCTCCCTGCTGCTCCCTGTCCCCGCCGTCCTCTCAGTCAACAATCCCCGATGGCAAAAAGGAAACATAGTCGACGGGCGCTGCCTCGGCTCCGTTGGCCTGTCCACTGATGCGCACTTCCTCTCCCCGCTCCACCCACACGTTCCGGAACGTGATCCTCGTCGCTGAATGCCCATCGAGATACGCAGATGGCTCGTGGCCCAGCTTGTCCTCCAGGTCGCCTGCCCACAATCCTACGGTCCGGTTCCCCAGACTGAGCTGATACTTCGCCCTGCCACCAATCACGTCCCAGTAGTTAACTGCCACATTGTACCTCCCGCTCGCGAATGCCACCTTGGCCTTCGCTACACCAGTCGCTCCACTCGACGTCGTTACAATGCCTTTGAATCCAGACGCCGTCTCAAATGGCTTCACTGCGATCGGCTTGTAGTTCTGCAGCGTCATGCTCTCCGCCTCAATCCGGTACGGGTGGTTGCCCACTCGCTTGGCCTCGTCTGGTATCCGCGACAGGTTGAAGTAAAATTGGTTGATGGCGTCGCGCCACACGAGCGCATGTCCAGCTTGATACGTCTGTCTGAACAGGACTTGCTCAAATCGCTCTTTGTCAATCTTACCCTCCAGCGACTCCCATTGGCGGACAAACTCCTGCGCCGTCTGCGCTCCCTCATAATGCGCATCGTAGAAGTGCTGAATAACCGTCTTGTTGGACTTTAACCGATGTGTATATGGCACATGGTGGAACCAAAGCAAAAGATTATCCGGAGTCAGCTCAATATTTTCCCATATCCGTGCAATCTCGGGCGGGTACTGTCCGGCATTCTTAGTACCATTTCGTACCGTGCGGTCCATGCCAATGCCCAAGCCGTCAGCGCGCGTCCATTGACCCCAGCCGTTGCCATCTTGAGAAGCTGGATTGGGCCCGTAGTGGGTGTAGAGAATGTCCGTCAGCGTCTGAATACCCAGGTTGCCACTGTAGTTCTCATATGCAGGCCACGACTTCATCGACATGTCCGTGATGGTGTTGAGAACGTCTTGGTCGAACCCAAATGTCAGTCGAATCCAGTCTTGGAGAATCGTCTCCGAGCCACTAGACGCATCCCAGGCTAGCCGTCCAAAGGCATACAAATTCGACATGGCAAGATGGCTTCCCAGCCATGTCGTGTTGGAACCGACGCCAGAGACGCCAGCATATCCACCTATTGGTCGTTTGAAACGCTTTCCATTGACAATGTCCTTGACTCTTGATTCGGTGTTGTCGGCCCTCATGTCGAAGTCTAAAATTTCCTTCCATTGCGGTGCAAGATATACCAGGTGGCAGTTTTGGCCCAGGTACTCGGGTGTGATCTGGAGCTCAATGGCTGTGCTGGTGTGGCGTAGTGATGCAAACAATGGGGATGGCGGCTCGCGGACTTGGAAGTCGATAGGACCGAATTTGATCTGCACGACGACATTCTCGTCGAACTTTCCGTCGAGATGTTGGAAGAACTCGAGTTGTGCATTTGCCCGGTCCGCGTACCAATTTGCCGGGTTGAGATTGTGGTCGTATACAAAAGCGCGAAACATGACTACTCCACCATGAGGCTTCAAGGCCCTTGCAAACATGTTCGCTCCGTCTGTCAGAGTGCGGTTGTACGTCAGGGGTCCCGGCTGGCCCTCGCTGTTCGCTTTGACCAAGTAACCTGCCATGTCTGGGACCTTTGAATAGATCTGATTAGTGATGTTCGTCCACCAGGCATCAACCCTGGGGTCTAGTGGGTCGAAAGTGCCCAGGGATTGCTGAGGAGATGCAAAATTGAGTGAAATGCCAATCTGCACTCCATATGGCCTCATAGCATCTGCAATTCTGCCGAGACCGGCTACGTTGCGATCGTTGAGTAGAGCAGCATCTGCGTTGACGTTGTTGATAATGGCGCCGTTTACGCGAATGGACGCCAGTAGTCGAGCGTATTCAGCGATGCGAGTAGTGTTGTCGACTACATAACCGTTCCGGAAGAAGATTGATGGGCCAGCATAGCCCCGCTCAATACTGCCATCAAGATTGTCCCATTCGTTAACCCATCGAATCGGCGCTTGAGGGTTGTACACTTTGGATCCGAATGCAATTTTATTCTGTGCAAGCTGTGAGAGGTATTCGAATGCGCCGTACAAAGCACCACGCTCGTTCTGGCCGACGATGATGACTTTTCCCGGGCTTATACTGAGGTAAAATCCATCATCTTCCAAATCTTCAGATTCGCCAATTTTTCCGTATGCCTTGCTGTAAGCTTCGGTAGTTCCGACGATGATGGCTGACTGATCCTGGCTGGCGGTCGTGCTCACTTTGAGTTGTTTGCTGGTGGTGCCTAGTACACCTCTTTGAAGTTCTTGACCGGCTGTATATACAGGGCTGATTCGTGTGCTGTTCAGTGCGATGATTGTCGATGGTACCGATTGTGCGGATGCTCCATTTGGGATCCGAGCATATCGTAGCCAGCCCTGGGAGCCGTCCTCAGCGAGGGCTCCACCGACGGCCCAAAGTAAAGTTGCGAATAACAACCGCATGGCAGCGTTCAAAGTGTCGTAAGGAGCCTTGGAGATCCATACCGCCTCATTGCAAGCACTTTATACTCTGCCAAAATCTTTAGATCCAATAAACATGGGTGCATCGGTAGTCCGATTAGGGTAGTATCTATCGCGACATTTCCAGCCGAGTATCTGAAATCGAATAGAAAGAGCCGTATTTCAGGCTAAAAGCTGGTCACTAAGTTGGGGTTATTTCCGACTTTGTCAAGTGTGCGGAGGGGTCAATTGCACTTCAGTGGAGGAATTGTGGAGAAATAACGCGGGGAAAATAAATGATCGGCGTCTTCTAATGTCTCATGACCAAGGTGGCAACTATTAAACACCGCATATTTCACCGTCAAGAGGCGTGCATTCAAGGCTTGCGAGATGTCAGTTGTCGTGGAAAATTTCGTCGACGGCACAAAGGTGATGATGACAGTACTGGATGCAAAATAAGGTGGTGGCATGGACGATGAGGAAAGAGGTGCTGGCACCGTAAGTTCGAGGAAGGCGCAACACAACCACCGAGTTCGAATATTGTTTAGACTACAACGATCTGCGAGCAGCACATCATTTATCCTAGCGATCCTTTGAGCTTTATCGCCTGTATAGTCCGATTTCTCTTTGAGGAGAAAAAAAACGTGCTGCGACTATGTCGTGACTGGCCTTTCAACACACGAACCAGCGCCGAACCTTGACTGGTAAGCGGCATGTATTGATAACGAATCTAAACGGCAAATCAAGAGTTCATATCTTCATCCAGGATAGTAATCAGAACCATATCGCGTGCTAGTGTACCCATAGATTTGAAAGAAGACAGCATGCCGATTCTGTTCTTTGTATACAAATCCCTTGTTCAAGACTAGGGTAGTGGACTGCTATATCTGTAGCGTGATATACATCAATTTTGGACACTGACTTTGTATTTGTGTGGATTCATACAAAACTCCGATGTCCGGGGCTTCTATTTGTGGAAGTCACTGGCGGCAATATACAGTGAACTGACTAAAACATCAAGAACCGGATGGTGCTTACCTCTATCGTCCTTTAGGAGCATCAAATTAGTTTATATTAGATTGCAGTACCCGAGGACCTGGTTCAATTAAAGAGATTGTATGTTTATCATGTAGTAGTAACTGCAGTATCCAATGGGCCGCCTGGGACATAGAGGTGCCGGACGGGCCAACGCCGCGGACGGGCCAACGCCGGATTTTCCCTACTAACACTATTACTAACTTGAAGCTATAGAGCTCTACATAAAAGCTATTATC